AATAAAATAAACGGGCACAAATAACAGTGTTCCACAAAACAAAAAAAATAATAATAATTTCTGCTAATAAATAGAATTCAGGTGGTTTTGACAGTTGGACATCTGGGTTAGTGATTCTTGACAGTTAAAGGTATATGGATGGAAATGTTGCCTCCTTGAGAATGAGACAGATTTCCAATGTAACTAGTCCTCTCCAACCAATTGCCTGCCTAGTGTGCACTACCTTTATAACACAACTTTTTAATGATTTTTAAGGTTCAATGTATACAGTTAATTCTTTTCCATAAAACAAAGACTAATTCCAAGTTTTCTTCAGTAAGAGCCAACCTGAGTCTAAGTGTTTTTTTTAGTTTTAAAACAACCTCTTCCATGTAACCTGTGTGAGACTCTGGAAATGTCCCACTAAATTCATTAATATTTGATTTTTTTCTTTCCATAAATGGAAAAATTAATAATAATGAAAATAAAAATTCTTTCTTCAGAAACATGATAAAAAAACTAGATAATGTAAACTCTAAGATCAACTATCTCCAGTTAGGATCAAATTTAAATGTTGATTTTGACTCATCCTGCCATCTAAGTTGAGATCTTGTTACACTTAGTAATGAGTGAACAACCACTTGAAAAATGAAGACGAGGAAAGTGACTAATGAGAATAGGTGATCAGGGGCAGAAAATAATAAAAAAAACCTGAATTTCATAAAAAAGAGACCTCTCTCTGGATTGACATCACTCTTCTCCCCAGACTGTTGACATCATCACCCCAGGACCACCAAAACAGAAGGATCTGTCTCTCAGAACTCTCTCTCTCTTCTAAAAATGAAATAGACTTGCTCTTCATCTGCAGAGAACACAAACAGCACTAGTTTCTGTAAGCATTTTTGGTAAATAAATCAGGGATGAATTTCTTTGTAAACATTGAGTCCATCTTGATGTTGGTTTTGTAAATGTTGAATTTGTCACACCAACATATGAATCTGCACCCCTCTTCCATTCTGACTTGAGTACACAATTTGACAACTTCACATCTGATGATTATTATTATTAGAAGAAACTTTTAAACCTTGAATATATTTCTATATTCAAGAGAATAAAAACTCCAGCAACATGTTGAATAACTTTTACAGTATACAGTTGTCCCTCCATAGTCCGACGTTTTTTAATCCAACATGCTCAGTAGTCCGACGCACCTCCCGTCAAGGTACCCGTCCCCGTTACGTGTCTGCTTGCACAGAAGCATGTTGCGATGTGAATCTCCCCATCCAATTCTTACTCGATGACACACATTTCGTGTGTTTTATGTGAGCAGTTCTGTTCGAACAGTTGGAGTAGAGAATATTGTAGGCTACTGCTAGCAAAACAATGTGAAATATGTAATTATTTTCGGTAATCCAGACACTTTTGGTAATCTGACACACCTTTGGTCCCATACCTGTCGGATTATCAAGGGACAACTGTATTTTTAATTATAATAAACAAAACTGTGTGTGGCATTATCCATTATGAGATTGTTATAAAAAATTTTTTATATTTTTAACTATAAAATATCAAAAGGCTTAATTTTGAGGCTAGTGATGAGCTTCATAAATTGTAAATGCCAATAATGAATAACATGTTCATTAAGTCTGAGATATGACCTGACACCCCTTGATCATTAACCATCAAAATTTAATAGCATCAATGCCCCCTTATACACAAGCTAATGTGCCAAATTTTATTTCATCATCATCATCCCATCCTGAGATATTAAACAAAATAGAAACCAACACACATACACACAAAATTTTTTTCCATTGGAATTTTTTGGGTTCAGGTCTCAAAATGTGGACATTTGCAAAAAAACTCAAAGGGTCAAATTTGACATAATTTCAATACTTTCTCTTGCTATGTATATATAACAGCTGGAAAAGTAAAATTATATGTATCTTGCATTCAAAGTACACAGGACAAGCAGCAGTTTCATAGTTTGTATTCTTAAGTGCAATAATCAATCTCTGGGGAATGGTATTGACCCTGCTCTGCTTTTTCTGTTTCAATATCACTGCAATCTCAATTTTTGCCAAGGACTTATATTGGTTTCATTAAAATTAATGAATGAAATAGTGATGCAAAGGATAACTCTTCTCATAGCTTTTGCTTATTGAGCAATTACATTAATTCATACACAATCTCAAGAGCTTCAGATGGTAGCTGTTTCAAGATGTCATCAAATCAATGCAGATCAAAGCATTCAAGATCTTGGTAAAGTTCCTTATTTCCAGAAAACTGTTCTTCCATGCTTGATATGACCTGATCCATTACATGGTTATAAACCAGTAATCAGAACTTCCTTTTCTGTTTGCTAATTTATTCATATCTCCCATTTCCCCAGGCTTGTTTTTTTAATCTTCCTTTGATGTTTCAATGCAAATAACCAACTATGAGAAATTCTTAGAATTCCTTATTCATTAGAATCACAAAGGCTTGGATTTTACAGATTTGAGTGGTCTCAAAATTTTGCTGTTGTGAGCAAAGTTTTTATTGAGGCCTGATTTATTTGATATCAAAGCTGAAGCAAAGTCAAGATTCTTCATTTGTAAGTATTCTGATATCAGTATTGTCATTTGATATGGTGTTGGAAATGTCATTGCAATGAAAATTGTTTGAAACAACAAAATCTACCTAATAATCCTCTGGCATTGCTTTAAATTTGGATATTTCAGAAAGTAATTGCTATAAAATTGTAATAAAAAAGTAATTATTATAAAAATTTTTTTTATATTTTTAATTATAAAATAGCAAAAGGCTTAATTTTGAGGGTAGTGATGAGTTTCATAAATTGTAAATGCCAATAATGAATAACATGTTCATTAAGTCTTGTAAACATTATGTATATCAAAATTAGTAATTCTGTATTTCTTAGATCAACATCTAACTTTTTTCTTTACATACTTGATATTTATTAAAACAATCACCCACATCAGCTTCCACTCTGGAAATGAATCTCAACAGGAATTATCTGGGATCCTGGGGAAACCTCAGGAATTATCCAGAGACCTGTGCCAGTTCCTTATTATCCATATCTGCCCTATCATATTTCACATGCAGCAAACTCCACATTATTGCAATGGCAGTTTTGACTTATCAACAGTGTGTTTCCACTTGGAGCTCTGCCATGTCAACAGCTTTAATTATAAATTAAAACTAAAACTAATTTCCATAAAATTTGATTATTGTTGCTTGGAAGTGTTAAAAATTGGAAGGGTCTCACTAAGGTCAATAGAGAGAGCCTTTTTGAGAAAACATCCAAATTTCCAATAGACCAGTAGGTGTCTAAACAACACCCCTGCTAACTTTGACCAATAAGGATGATAACTGTCAAAATTTTATGAAAATCCAAGTTATTGGAATGTTTTCTCCAATGATACAGAAACCAAGAAAGTGAATCTAAAGTGCAGTAATTGTTACAATCAGCTCTAACAGAAGTTTACTGAAATTTAATAGGTTATACCAGTGATTCTCAACCACTGTGCCACGAGATTTTTGAAGTGTGTTGCCACTGAGAATATCCATACATAAGAGACGTCAGACAAGAAATTTAATTGGTTCTACCTTCCTAGGATGCATTTGGAAATTGTAACTGGTGTTACCAGTAACTGCCAGTAGTTATCAAGGCATTTAGAAAATGTGACCTAAATAACCATCTGCGTTTAAAATCACTGTTATGATGTCACTGGTTGTCCTGCGGTACTTACCGAAGTAACTGCATATGCTGCCAAATTTTTAAATTATTAAAAGTGTATTGTGACAAAAAAATGGTTGAGAATCACTGGGTTATACTGTTGAATTTATTATTACAGGAAATGAGCCAAAAGTTTTATGACAGCACAGTATACAACAGTGTATTGTCTTTAGTAATGTACCAATTATAGTAGTATAATACATAATATTGAATTCTGGATATTGAAGACACTTGATATTTATATTATTATTGTAATTATAATTACTTGTTAATTTCTTGACAATAGAAAAATTGTCAAGAAATTTTAAATGATTGTAAAATTTAAAAAAAAAGTTCTCTTAGCAAAGCAGAGTTAGCAGGATGTTTACTGTGTTTATTTGTCTATATACATACACAGTTGAAAACCATATATATGTCTAGACCATTCAAAAATTATGTATATTTCTAAAACAAATATACTACTTGATGTTAGGAAAGCTTTCAATAGGTCTCTAAAAATCCAATCAAAATAGTAGTATAATACTTTTGAACAAGACTTAAATTAATTACTGTTTGTTCCATAATCCCAATAAATAAGACATCTAATAGTAATTAGATTTGTTTTAATTTGTCTTTATGATTACTTTCTCATCTTATTTGTATTAATTCATGCCTTTTCTTATATGAGTCAATATGAAAATGTAATACTACTAGAAGTATGAATTTTGTATAAACCTAGTTTTATATATTATAATTTACTCTTTCTCCAATCCTTCTGACAGTAATTCTTTCTATACACTTTCAATTCATAAATTTCTACCTCAAAAAATTATATATTTTAGATTAGCAAGATCAGAAATAAAAACATTTTGTAGCAATTAAACTAATTCTTTTATAATTTTAATAAGCATTTAATCAAATTTTCCACACAAGGAATCTCTCTCTTATATTTTAATGTTTTTACTAAATAAAACTAAATATTTAATATCATTGAATTTAAGAAAGTGAAATAATAACATTCTATAAAGTAGCAGTTTAAGAAATTTAATTAGAAAATTTTGATAATCATATTCCTATCAAGGGAAAACAAAACTATTTCATCTTGATTACATAAAAGATAGGAGTTTCATCATTAGACTAGTTGTAGCATTTCCTAAAGCAGGTGTAAAAAAATTAAATTACATTGTAGATTTTTTATATAATTGTTTTTAGAAATAACTTCTTAGAAATAACTTTTGTATAACTTCATAAAATACTTTTCTTGTAATGCAAAACTGACCAAAAATATACACATTACTTACATTACTGATAATATACATTTGAATTTCCATATTAATGAACTGATAATGAATATGTTCTTTATTATGAATAGTTAGTTGATTACTGATTGCAGATGACTTGTGATGGCATATATCCCACACTTCCAAAATGGTCATTGAAATATAACACTTCTGGTATTAAATTTAGAATGTATAATCTTTCCTACAAATATAAGCAGGTTCAATGAGAATTCAAATTATCAACTATTGATCCTATTTCATGAACTAATTCATTGTTGAAATTATAAATAAAATATTGCCTACAAGTATAAGGTAATATGGATTTGTATGATCTTACTAATTATTTTTTGTCTCAAAAGCACCAATCCTATAATTAAAAAAATTCTCTAAAGTTTGATTTGAATTTATTTGATTTTAGTTCTAATTCAAATCAAGTTATTCTCATATTATTTATATTTTATTTAAAACAGAAAATAATGATGTCAATTTAATCACAACAAGCACTACTAGACTCAAATACAAAAGTTCATACTTCTTTAATTAATCAGAAATGTTTTCAAACTGTTTTGGCTCATCAAACAAGCTGTTGATGAATTGGGATGGCTTGGAAACTTTGTTAATAAATTCACACCTTCTACATTTAATATGATTAATAATTACATTTTTATATCAATTAATAATTAATGCAAAATCTTATTTTAATATATATTGAAATAAAAATAATCTTACCTCTCTATATTTCTGTAAATATAATTTCAAAGGCTCAACATAATTATCAAACCCTAAATTTGACATTGCAAATAAAATATCTTCACCATTAATTGTCTTCCTTTTTTCTTGATGGCAGCGATCACTAGCTCTATATTTAATTAAGGCATTTCTTTTCAAGTTTTAAACAAACAAACTAAATTTTATCATAATAAGAATTATACAAAATAAATTCACACTTATTTACATATACAATATATATACAGTATATCATATGAAATAATTTGTAAAAAAGTAATGCATTAGATTAAATGCAAATTCATTTCATAAGATTAATAAAGTTTTTTTTCAAACACACACAAGATCATATAAAAACACTTTCAAATAAAAAGTACTGTTGCATTATAAATGGCAAAGCAAACTGAGAAAACATTAAAAGCTTCATGGTATATGACATTTAAAATCATGTACAGTACAGTACATATTGGCATTCTGTAAATCAAAGTACTTTTTATTGTTACTTTAAAAGGTTTTTAGTTTTAAAAAAGATATAATTATTTTTAGATAAACCTGATTATATTTTAGTGAAATAACTGGCAGTATTTATTTTCATTCACCTCATTTTTTATGTAGTAGAAAATTAATAAATTTAGTTTATTCAAAAAACAAAATTTCTTTTTATCCATTGAACTTGCATCAGAAAGATCATAGATTACCCAGCTGAAGTGAAATCCCAAATGTTCTCTTCATTTTATCCAAAATTGAGTGGATAAAGCCTAAAATTTTTGTTCATACTTCATCTATCTATTTTTGGACAATGCCTGCTTTAGATCCTTATGACTTCAATAAAGTGCACTTTATACAGATAAAGTTTAAAAATTAATAGATTGTTTCTTGTTTTAACCAAAAGACTTGGATAAAGTTAGAATCAGCTGGTTAATCCTAGATTTAACTAATTCAGGGGCTTTAGTCATATCATATATATCATTAGTAATGACTGGAACTATATGCATTCACATAGACGCATACATGAAATGTGCATTTATGCTAAATTTCTTATAAATGCATATTTTCATCCTTTAAAGAATAAATGCATATTTGGCACCCTTTTTAAACCATAGTTTACTCCAAAAATATGTAAAAAAACCATCAGTTCAATTCCACTGGGATTTTACCCCATAAAATTCAAGCACATATCAGACACAAGTACCTTCTTCTATCAAAAATGTTAAAGCCTGCATGTGATGCAATTAAACTCTTCCTGCATTAAACTTTGACGTGTTAGCATGCAAATTTTAATGGATTATCTTTATTAGTTCTTTTCTACTAGCTGACTAAATTTCATCACTTTATATTCAGTAGAATTTTTGTAACTAAGTTTTTTTGAATTATAATATGTTTGGTTGACTGCAGCTGGTAACAACAGGAAAAGTAAAGATATTCACAAATGTTTGACTAAAGAAGTTTGTCGCTGAATTTGGAGATCAAATTTTTATCACTAGTGGCAATGTTTTTCTGTGTTAACCATGTGGGAAAGTTATAAATGCAGAAAGAAAGTTTCAGATCCTGCAACTTATTGATGCTCTGGTGCATAAAGCAGCTCTGAATAAATCCTACAAGCAAAATCTCCTTTCCACTAAAAATAATTCATTAACCATAGGTACAGGAAAGCAATCCCAATTTACATTGGACTTCACAAATGCTTTTTTGAAAGCAGACATCTCCTTTTTACAAACTGAATAATCCCACATTCCATCAATTTCTGAAGAAATATACCCAATAAAACATACCTGCCAATCAACAATTAGGAAAAATCTTATCTATTGAAATACTATGAGAGACATGTTAAGTCAGATAAGAGCAGCTGTGATTTGCAAGTACAATACATCTGGATATCTATTGATGAAAGTTGAAACCCGATGTTCTGAATTGTAGAAAATGTAGTCTTAGGAACATTGGAAAAAAATTGCCTGGTATGACTTTTCTGTTTTGGAAATGATCAACCAGCACATTTATTTGAAAATACTGTAGAAATTCTTTGACCAGAAGGAATAAAGTATAATTCCATCCTTTTGTTTTTGACTGATGGCTCATCTTATTTGGTTAAGGCATGCAAGAGATTGCAAGTGCCACTGGAAAATATGGATGGAAGCTGCTATTTATTATGTGGACCATTTTAAGAAGGTAAAATGGATCTTCAATAATATGGATTCTGAAAAAGTAGTTGTTGCAATTGAAAAAAAGACAAATTTTCAAACTCATTAATCCAAGAACATCTTGTAGAACCGTCAGCTTCTGCTAGGTTTCTACCTGCTTCAATTAACAGCTTGGAAACTGCAAAGTTGTCATTGAGCAAAGCAACTGAAATTGTGGACAAAATATGTAACACATTACTGGAAAATCGTCTATCTGAAAGATTGTAGAGAACGCTCTGCATATTTTTGTGGAACTATAAATGTGGAGATTTAAATAGAGCTATCAATTATATCCAGCACTCTACAAATGGAGGATGTATTTCTGATCTAAAAACTGACTATAAGATTGAAGAATTAAAATATTTTAAATATGCACCAATTACATTAAAGAAATTTCTCTCAATATAAATCTGTATTTTCTGATAAAAGCAAATCCAGCAAATCAAATATATATATATATATAAAATTAGTTGATATATATCAACTAATTTCTGTCAACTAATATAAATAGCACCCCAAATATTGATTGGATTTGTAGACAGAAATTAGTTGATATATATCAACTAATTTCTGTCTACAAATCCAATCAATATTTGGGGTGCTATTTATATTAGTTGACAGAAATTAGTTGATATATATCAACTAATTTTATATATATATATATATATATTTGATTTGCTGGATTTGCTTTTATCAGAAAATACAGATTTATATTGAGAGAAATTTCTTTAATGTAATTGGTGCATATTTAAAATATTTTAATTCTTCAATCTTATAGTCAGTTTTTAGATCAGAAATANACTGATTATGTTTTCTATTACAACCTATAACATATATACTACACTAAATTTAAAGGATACTCGCTTGTTACAAAACTAACAAATTCGGAAACACATTCCTGGACACATTCTTTTGCATCTTTTGCTATCTGTAACAAAAATTGAGACATTATAAAACTGTAAATAAAAAAAAATTTTAATATATTTCTAAACAGAAATTATAATACTAAATTATATTTCAGAATTTAACTATTTATTCTTTGTGACAGAAAGTACACAGCTTTAAAAATAAAAAACTTTTATAGTAGTATAATTTTAAATTGCAATTAAAATAATTTCATAAACATTTTGTTATATGATAACTTTTGATAACCAGTTATGACCTCTATGAGAAGGTTATATTCAGCTACAAATAAATTACATTTATTTCATAGAAGACAAACTTTTCACACTTATAAGCAGAAAAAGTAAGGATTGGCTTCATAACAGACTTTCTGCTATCTCTATAAGCTGGTATCTGCTATAATTTTATTTTTTGAATTTCTGAATTAAAAAATATAAAATTATGAAAATAAATATAATTACAGATAAACATTGTACAGTACTTTCTAACACAATAACAAAGTTAAATATAAAACATAATGCAGACAAATTTGAATATTCTATAATGTTTGAGGCATCACCACATAGCCAAGGAAATCAAATTTTTAATTATAAAAAAAAACTAATAAATATTAATTGAATTTTTTTCTTTATAAAATGAAGACAACTTTTAAAGCTTTTGAAAACTTTTATTATCAAAATAATAGTGTTCAAACAGATATCAACTCAATCATCAATTTAGAAGTGGAGATTCAGAAAAAATAATCATGATACAGTAGACCCCCTATAACACTGTTGATAATTCTGTTTTATATGAATTCCATGTTGTATGAGTCACTTAGATTTTACAAATATGTGAGCCGTTCACAGCCCGGCACACGTATTTGTAAAATCTAAGTGACTTGTACAACATGGAATTCATATAAAACAGAATTATCAACAGTGTTATAGGGTGGTCTACTGTACTTAATTTTAAAAATTAATAGATTAAAACCCAGATAAACTGAAATTGCAAAAAACTGAATTATTTTTCGTTTTAGAAAATTTCCATTTTAAACAGATTTTAGTGTTTTTTCTTTAATTTTCTAATATATTTAAACTATACCTTCTCAAATGCAAACCTTACAAATTCACACAACATTCAACAAGTTAATTCAAATACTAAGAACTAGTGTCCCATTCTGTCTTTGAAAATTGTAATCATATTACAATAATTCAGAGACCAAGATATTCTGTAGTTAGCTTTAACAAATTTTAATACTATAATCAATTGCTAATTTAATGCTCTGTAATTAATCAACTTATTCTCAAATACTTGGTAACTAACTAGTAAACTAGTATCAACTAGTCTGTACAATGCAAATGGGAGCATGTGTTACCTTATTCTCATTGTTTTCATAAATTATATTCATTATTTGTTCTCAAGAACTCAATTTCTGGAAACTTATTCCAATTCATAAAAGTTCTCAGTTCTTATAGTATTTGATTCAGTTCCTGGTTAATTCCAAAAAAGCTGTCATGTGACTTTCATTTCTCTGACAAGGTTTGAAATTGTTTTTCGAATACAATTTGTCATTTTGTGGTAATCATTATACCTGTAGGTGATTTTACTTGTTTGTCTACAAATGGAATGCTAATTTTCCATTGTATTTAGATTAAGTTACATTTTTCCTACCCAAAAATCTGTTCCATTTTCACATTGGACAGGTTTCTAACATAGTAAAATTTAACAATAGGAGGAAAAACAAAATCGCTCCAGTCTGAAGAATTTTTTCCTTTAGGCAAGTTTCCATTTTACTCATGTTTTGTTTTAGATAGGTTTTGCTGCATTTTGAATTTCATATTTTTTAAAATAAATTAAAGTTCACATTCGTGTGATAGATTCATGTATCAATAAAAAAAATCATCTATAAGAAAAAACAGTAAACTGATTTAAATGTTTAAAAAAACTTATGTCAACAGTTAAATCTATTTACTGTAATGCAAAAAAAGTAATTTAACTATGAAGACAACACCAACTACATTATCAAATATGGTGAATAAAACTATTTTCTCATAAAACAATGATTAAAATATTTTAAACAAGTTCTGATTTAAATTTTTTTTATCTTATAAAAGAATTATTTTTAAAACAAAATTTATCTCGTTAAGTTTTGTTACAATTAAAATAATCATTTCATTTACTGATTCAGAAAGCAAGAAAATTCTAATAAAGTAGTTTAAGCACTTTATAAACTTTTTCTTAAAAAGAATTTAGCAAAGTGCATAAGTTTTTCTGAAATATAAAAAAAACACACAATTAATTTCTGTTATACATATCAATTTTTTGAAAGTAGATTTTTGAAAGCCAGAGCTGGCTTAATAGATGTATATAACCATGTATTTACACAGAGTCCTGAACTTGGTTAATGGTTTGTAAATTGGACCAATCTACAAACCATAAAATTCATAAAGTGTTCAAATTGAACACAAACTTTGCAAATGTAAATTCTGTTTGCAATGTTAAAAAAAATCACTGCATAATAAATTTTTATTCAATTATAGCAATATAAATAAAACAGTGAATTGACAGTCTTCAGAAAGATATTTTGCAATCACCTAACAATAATTAAACATTTAAAAAAAATTTAAACTCATATTATACTTTAAAATTATACAAATAATTCATTATTTAATTTTGTGTACATTAATGAGACAGTCAAGTATACAAACAAATAAAAAAAATGAGATTAGTGATATNATGTCATCTACTGTTTCAAATCTTTTTTCCTTCAGCTTTATTTTTGTGAACAAAAAGTAATTGCATGGGGCTAAGTTGGGTGAGTAAGGCAGTGGGAAATGGTAGCTGTGTGGAAGTCAAAAACTGATGTACAACAAGTGAGGAATGGGCTGGTGCATTCTCATGATGCAACATCTATGATTTGATGTTTGGCATTCTTGGAACATTTTTATTGAACCTGTTAGAAAACAGGTTCAATAAAAATCTCAGGCATCTCAGAACATTGTAATAGAACAAGCCCATTCACCATCTGCCCTTGTGGGACAAATTCCTTGTGAATAAGCCTTCCCCCCAAAGATTAATATTGCTTTTGTTAACCTTGACTTAATCATATATAAGCTTACATTTTGAAAATTTTAGATTAAAAGGAAAATTTAAGAAATGATATTTTTAACTCTAGGATGTATTCATAAGAATAATTCTGCATTCTTACATTTGTATCACATTGAATAGAACTAAATTAAATATTACAAAAGCATACAAGTATATACTACAACTGCAAATTATGCAATTTCATTTGACTGTGAAATACATTAAAATTAATAATAAAGTTATTATTATATAAATAAAACTTAAAACAACACCCTGTATACTCATACATGATAATGATAATAATAATAATGAAACTTTACAATTACATAAAACTAACTCTTGCAAGTAACACCAGTAACTATTCATTTGCACAACACTTGTGCACAGTGGCATTTTCTACAAAACTATTTAAGAAATTCAAAACATATATTTATAAAATATTAAAAATTGTCAGCTTTCAGAATTTTTTAATATTTCATAAATTTTCAATGCAGTCACATTATTTCTCATTAGAGTTACCAGATACCTCTTTTTCAGCAGTTGTCATCCCAACTACCTAGGCAAACCCCAAAATTCATGCTATCAAAAATCTTGCACAATCATCATCTAACTTTACATATTAAAATTCTACACAAAAATCAAATTTATATTTAGCAGTATATCATATATAAGTTACAATTAAACTCAAGTCTGTTGTTATCTCTGTTTTAATATGGAGATTGAAGAATTTCTACAATTGATATTTTGAAAATGTTGTCAATGAATATTCTGTTGTATTATTTAATGTTTATTCATGAGCTGTTGTCAGCCTCAGCCATCATAGCATAGAATATCTGTGTATTTTTTACTATGCAGGTATAATTAGTAAAAGTCTAAATATCTCTTTCATGACATTTTCATTTGAAGTCATTCACTGACATAAGTTTTTTTGTTTCTAATATCCTTCAAGATCAGAAATAGAATATTGTATCAGAAACATTGATATTTGTATTACATATTTTAATAATATACAAGTTGTATGTACATTGAAGATTTTTTAAAATTTGTCTTCATCTATGAATTATGAAATTAATAATGCTTTGTTGCTTACAATATATATAAAAGCCAGAAATTCAAATGCAAGAATGAGAGATACAGAAAATAAAATGATACAATATCCTCATTTCACATCTAAAAACATCTACACTAAGTACTGCAATAATAATATGCTGATCAAATAACAAAAGTACTTAATGTGCACACAGGAATAAAAAGAAATTCCCATTGATTATGAATCATCCATCCATTTCTAGTAGACTAGACAAATTATTATGCTGTCATGTGTAACACATTCTGCAGATTTCTCACTTGTAATTAGCTGCAATTTGAAAAAATTGTAGACCTATAAATTTCCACCATCGTCCATCCTTCCTTCATCTCAAGACAGTGTTAGATAGATGAATGTCAAGACCAGATATGAAAAACTTAGGGGTAGAGGACCCCAATTAACTATATATGAACTTCTGCTTTGGGCCAGAAGTCACATTATTTCAATTCAAAAATTTTCTCCAGAAAGGAGTTAGATAGATGATCAGCATGACCACATTGTTAACAGAAAAAGTATGATATACAGGGCAAGACACTCTAAACTTAATTGCATTTGTAATGAAAAATTGCAGCCTATCATTGTGATGGAGTCAATAAATAATTGCTTGTCTTATCTTACAAATTAAATTAGCATTGATCATCATCATCACAATAATGTTCAACTTTTCAGAAAGCCATGAAACATTCTAGAAAGTGTTTAAAATTGCTTCAATAAATCAACAAAAAGATGAAAATGATGAATCAATGTAGAAGGAAATATTTTATAAACATAATTATCATCAATAATATTTACATACATTAAATTTTTTGATATCATTCATGAAATGCATCAGAAATAAAACCTATCACTGTAAGCATAAAATTCTATTTCAAAAATTAAACTATTACCATCTACTATATTTGACATTATATTATATATAAAATATAGTAATGTATGCATATTATCTCATATTTAAGAACATATAATTGCATACAATTTCATGCCTAAAAATATCTACAGATGATAAAAATAATGCATTATAAAAATTTTGAAATTACTGATAATTATAAAATATATAATTCAGTTATCATAGGCTAAGTATAAACTAGTCAATGCCATTGCTTTTGGACATGACATCAAATGAGATTTCTGTAGTCATATGACTATTTTTAACTTGGACAATCTCACAATGTCATGGCTTTTGATATCACTCTTGATGTATTTCTACAGAATCAATAAACTAATAAATATTTGCTCTATTTCTCTACAAACTTGCTCAGAGAGATTGTTCACAAAATAATGAAAATCAGTAAATCACAGTATGTTGGCTAATATTAATATCTTTGTGCTACAATCTCAAGTGTTTTATTAGCATGGAATTAATATGCAAATGTAAAATATCTTTAGGTATTTATATATGTATATTTTATAGTTTCAATAATTTAATAAAATAATTATTGTGATCATATAGGTGGTGCAAGCCAAAAGTTTCCAAACTTAAATTTATTAAAAATTGTACACTTACATGGTAAATTATCTGACTTCATCTTTTTTGTAGTAGTTTCCTCTGTATTAATGCAGTGGTCCCAGTGCAATTTTTATGGTTGGAAGCACCCAAGAAAATAATTTTTGTTATTTCCTTCAGTGTATCCTGCCATTATCCTCTTAATGTCATCTACTGTTTCAAATCTTTTTTCCTTCAGCTTTATTTTTGTGAACAAAAAGTAATTGCATGGGGCTAAGTTGGGTGAGTAAGGGAGTGGGAAATGGTAGCTGTGTGGAAGTCAAAAACTGATGTACAACAAGTGAGGAATGGGCTGGTGCATTCTCATGATGCAACATCTATGATTTGATGTTTGGCATTCTTGGAACATTTTTATTGAACCTGTTAGAAAACAGGTTCAATAAAAATCTCAGGCATCTCAGAACATTGTAATAGAACAAGCCCATTCACCATCTGCCCTTGTGGGACAAATTCCTTGTGAATAAGCCTTCCCCCCAAAGATTAATATTGCTTTTGTTAACCTTGACTTAATCATATATAAGCTTACATTTTGAAAATTTTAGATTAAAAGGAAAATTTAAGAAATGATATTTTTAACTCTAGGATGTATTCATAAGAATAATTCTGCATTCTTACATTTGTATCACATTGAATAGAACTAAATTAAATATTACAAAAGCATACAAGTATATACTACAACTGCAAATTATGCAATTTCATTTGACTGTGAAATACATTAAAATTAATAATAAAGTTATTATTATATAAATAAAACTTAAAACAACACCCTGTATACTCATACATGATAATGATAATAATAATAATGAAACTTTACAATTACATAAAACTAACTCTTGCAAGTAACACCAGTAACTATTCATTTGCACAACACTTGTGCACAGTGGCATTTTCTACAACATATTATGTCTAGTTTCAAGCTTTTAATATATACTGAACATATAAGGGCATAACTAAATAGCAGATATAATACATCAAAAGCTTGTACACAAATACAAACTACTATATACCCAAGAACTATGCTATAAATACATAGATCTACTGCATACAATCAAGAAAACAGCATGCACAAAATATACTATGATCAAACCATAACCACAGAAAAAACAAAATTGCATGCATTATAGACATAGATGTTCTAAGCACCCACAACATACAAAATACATACATAAGAAAAATTTAGTAAATAAGTTATTCAGAACTACTTCATGAAATTAAGTGTCTGTGGAAAACAGATAAGGTATTTGTTATGCCAATAGTCCTTTCTTACAGAGGCATCATATCACATACACAACACAAAAATTGAAGCTTTAGGACTTCATAACAGCACATATCTTTACATCACACTATAGCAGGTACCAGTATATAAATTCCTGACATTACATAGTCAGGAAATTTTTAAACATAGATATATACACAAGCAGCATACAAACAAAACATTTAACTTCTGTAGTTATGCCTTGACTTGGTCTGGCATAGCACTGGGCACTAGTAAAAGCACAGTGTAGGATAGACACCATCAACACAATAATAATTAATAATAAACACAATGAAGTCAATAAATCAAAAAAGTGTAGTGAGTGACATTTACAATGTTATCTATATAGTTGAGTTTGGAAAAATTTTTTCAAAGTAGAACACAGATTTAGCTGACATGCAGAGATTAAGACAAGTATTTATTAAAGAAGAAAAAGCTACTACTATATATTTTGCAATACTTTGTGATTTTTAAGTTATCAATATAGTTTTATTTTGTAAAACAATATGTATTAAGAACAGTATTCAAAAATAGCCAAAGAATTGCCAAAAATTATTGACTATTTTTATATACTAAATTAGCTAACTAATTTGCACTAGCACTAGAAATATTAAACATCATTTTTAATAAATTTAAATTAGTTTCTAATTATTAGAAAATTATTTGAAGAAAAGATCTAGCCTAGAGTGGAATTAAAATTGTAATTATTTCAATATAAGCAGCAAGATTATCTGTTACATTATCTAGACTTTTCAAGTAGGATGTTTGCCAATACAGTAGAACCTCGATTACCCGCCCCCCGATCAACCGACCCCTTGGTTAACCGATCGTCCTAGTCGGCAAATTTCAAATGTCCACTAGTGATGTGGCGCTACAATATTTGGCTATGTCTTGGCTACTTTAATATTATTTTTACGTGTTTTAGCTGGCAACACTCATTCGACCATGAAAGGGAGCCAGTATTTAAACGAAGCTTAATTTTCTAATTTTTAACGATACAATAGCGACGATTATTATTTTAAAAAATTTTTGTTAGGCTTAACATCGATGAAAATTCAACGCAAAATAGGTTAATAGCGATATACTAATATACTAATTACATGGGATATAATAATATACTACACTAATAATGGATTTTTTCATACTTTTCGGTTATCTGACTTTTCAATTATCCGACCAACCCCAGTCCCCAATTAGGGCGGATAATCGAGGTTCTACTGTATTTCTAACACAATTCAAACTAATTCATTATTTATTTTTTCTTTCTTCAAAATTCTCTGATTTTCTTCATGTCTTTCTTCCATTACGTAATGTTGGAAATGCTGGTTTAAATTTATCAACATTTAATGTGAAGTATATCAAAGTACTAGCTAAAAAAATTGTAAATGAATCTGTAAAAATTTCATTTAATAAGTTTAAGGAAAAATAAATTCTATAAAACTATGGCAATAAAAGTAAGCATGCTTTTTTAAAATGACATTAATGGGAAATATATAATTCAGTGTACTGTTTCTTTAACAAAAATTTTAGAGAATAGGAAGAGCAAGAAATTTTAGTTTGTTGATTAAATGAAGTATTTTTTGAAGATAAGACAAAAATACATCAGTAATTCTACTACTATGCCAGGACCACATTTTATTTCCTACATACAGATAACATAATAAAATCTATATTCAATAGATATGTAATTTTTTTCAAAGTACTTTCTTAGCTTATTATGTAACACAGGAAAGTATTGGAATCATGTTAAATTGGACTCTGGATTTTTTTGCAAATCTCTGCATTTTCACTCTCTCAAACAAAACAATAAATAAATAATAATAATCCACATATATGTGTGGGGGCATCTATTTTGTTTAATATCTCAGGATGGAATAATAATTAAGAAACAAAATTTGGCATGATAACTTGTATATAATGGACACTGATACTGTTGTTTTTGTTGTTTAAAGGTCAAGGAGGTGGAGAGATAGAAAGAGGTCGTGTATCATATCTCAAGTGGTGTTGGATGTAATGATGATTTTATTTGTTATTATCATTTGTGATTTTTTATAAAACTCATCTCTATTCTCAAAATTATGCTTTTTGCCATTTTATAATAATTTATAATATAAAAAGTTTTTTAAAATAAAATCTCATAATAGCTGGAAAAGTTACAAAACTCATTGCTGGATTTTTTCTTAAAGTTTCTACTTTCAAATTTCCTTTAATTTTATCATCAGAACCCATTTCCATTTTCAACATTACAATTCATAAAGCACTACTTTATCAGTCAGTCATCAGTCATGTTTTAAAAAAACTTAACACTATCAGCCAAAAAAATTTGTTTTGAGTATAGGATAAATGAATAAATATTAAAATTTTATAAAATTATACTTACTTGGTAAGGCAGTGGGAAATGGTAGCTGTGTGGAAGTCAAAAACTGATGTACAACAAGTGAGGAATGGGCTGGTGCATTCTCATGATGCAACATCTATGATTTGATGTTTGGCATTCTTGGAACATTTTTATTGAACCTGTTAGAAAACAGGTTCAATAAAAATCTCAGGCATCTCAGAACATTGTAATAGAACAAGCCCATTCACCATCTGCCCTTGTGGGACAAATTCCTTGTGAATAAGCCTTCCCCCCAAAGATTAATATTGCTTTTGTTAACCTTGACTTAATCATATATAGTCTTACATTNGGATGGCCACAGTGACAATATTCAATCAACTTCTGCAATTTTACCATGCTTGGAGATAAAAGGCCCTGCATTATTTAATATATACCAGCCATCTATTACTAAAATTAAATCCAGTCATTCCTTCTGACTTCTGAATATGGCAGCTTGTTGTTTAATAATATCCTGTTATTTATCCATGCTTACCAATCACTTCACCAATCTATATTACAATTGCAGCTTTTAGTTCTTAATGTTTTGGTGCTCTAAGATGTGTTCCATTTTCTTTTTCATTTTTGGTCCACTTTTCTTTGTCACTGAGAATATCATCAATAGCCCTATGACTTGTTCCACAACAGTGAAAGTGGATAGCAATAAACTGCTGAATAAATTTCAAACTATGTTTCTTGCAAATTTCCTTCTTTTTCTTTTTTTTTATATGTAAAACAGTGCCTTCTTTCCCATCAACACTTGAACAACTGACTGTTAAAAGCAAATGCAAACTGACTTGGATTTGTAGGAAACTCATCAGGTCAAGTGTTAGATCTCTAATTGTCATTGTTCTTCCCTGTACACTTAACTCATACCCTTTAAGAAAAAAACAAATTTGATGTGAATATTGTAAAATGATTACTGGAACATTATTATTAAAATCAAGTTTTTTGTGATTTATTTTTCCTGTTTTAAATTATCTTAACAAAATCTAATTTTTGATATTTTCCAAATATAAATTGGGTGTTTACTTTTTGGATCATAACACTTAATGGAAAATAGAATGATACTACTTATTAAAAATTGAAATATTTCTCATAGCATTAAATTAGTAAAGATTTGAAAGTAAGTAACAATAATCAAGAGAAAGAAGATTTATAATGATGAATAGATTTCTGCTGAAAATGTAGAGAGGTAGTTCAGTTAAGTTATTTTCATTAATTTGAATAAATATATTGTAAATGATCAAACTAATTTATTATAATTTATTTAATAATAATTAAACTAATTTAACTAAACTTTTCAAACAACTGAAAATACACACACAGAACACACTAAAATTCTTAGAGAAAATTCATCAGTTTGCATTCAATATTGGTTTATGCAGCAAGAAAAATTATAATTTTAAATCTTTGAAAATTTTTTTATGACAAAGTTATACTACTGTATAAATGTAAGCATTTTTCACATTTTACATTGATATTCTGTATAATTTATGATGATCATCAGAAACTGCAAGAAATTAACTGAAAATAATTAATTTTGAAATAAAAGTTATCCTAATAGGGAATGAAATTTAATATTGAAACTGAACAAATTGAATATTGCAATTTAGAAAAGTGACTTGTTCATTCAAAGAAATATATAAAAAAAAATTTTTTCCTCTTACAAAATACTCTACTCACCTTTGTATGAAATGATTACAGATATATCTACAAACAGTGCTCTATATCTACAATTGCTTTGTGATTAAAATATTTCTGCATAATGATTTTGGTAAAAAATTATTTTAAATTAGAAAATTTTTGAGAATCTTTATCATCATCATTCTACTAACACTTCCCCATCCCCTGTCACAATCTGATGATTGGTTGGATGGTTTTGAGAGTTACTGGTACAGTACAAGGGCCTAGGTAGGACAAAGAGTACCAAGTCTAGCCAGTTATATATCTGTATGGCATTTTGGTTCTTTTAATAAACCATAAATCTTTGTTGTATGTCATCTTAGAGTTCTGCATATAAATTTATTGTTTGAAGATATGCCATAATAAGTTGGATTTGTTTATTGTTGTCTAGTATAGTTCATATGAGTGTAGTCTGAGAATGATTGTTGTCAGAGTGTCTTCTTGAGCTGTTTTGTATTGAGGAGAAGTTAGTAATCTGTCATAAAGTCTGTATATATTTCCTTCCCCAGTGCAGATATTATAGATTTAGTATATGTCTCTTCAATCCGAATGGTTAACAAACGGTAGACTTTCTTTCAGCTCTGAGGTTAAGTATTCCTTTATTGTAAATTACATATGCATTTCAGGCTTGTATGAGCCCCTCTTCAGTGTAAATTCTCAGATGGTTGAGTAACACTTTTTAAAAATTGTATGACATCAACAATGACATTATTACCAACGAAACACATGAATAACAATCGTATATGAGTATAATTCCCAAACCTGTTCTTTTTATCCATTTTGTCATTAAATTTTCTTCACAAAATCTGGTATAATAGCTGATAAATACTTAGAAAAGAACAGGTTTGGGAATTATACTCATATACGATTGTTATTCATGTGTTTCGTTGGTAATAATGTCATTGTTGATGTCATACAATTTTTAAAAAGTGTTACTCAACCATCTGAGAATTTACACTGAAGAGGGGCTCATACAAGCCTGAAATGCATATGTAATTTACAATAAAGGAATACTTAACCTCAGAGCTGAAAGAGAGTCTACCGTTTGTTAACCATTCGGATTGAAGAGACATATACTAAATCTAAGTATTTATCAGCTATTATACCAGATTTTGTGCAGATATTATAGTTGAATGATCCCTTTGGGTTGTATTCTTCAATGATGGCAGACAGTCTTTGGATGGCCACAGTGACAATATTCAATCAACTTCTGCAATTTTACCATGCTTGGAGATAAAAGGCCCTGCATTATTTAATATATACCAGCCATCTATTACTAAAATTAAATCCAGTCATTCCTTCTGACTTCTGAATATGGCAGCTTGTTGTTTAATAATATCCTGTTATTTATCCATGCTTACCAATCACTTCACCAATCTATATTACAATTGCAGCTTTTAGTTCTTAATGTTTTGGTGCTCTAAGATGTGTTCCATTTTCTTTTTCATTTTTGGTCCACTTTTCTTTGTCACTGAGAATATCATCAATAGCCCTATGACTTGTTCCACAACAGTGAAAGTGGATAGCAATAAACTGCTGAATAAATTTCAAACTATGTTTCTTGCAAATTTCCTTCTTTTTCTTTTTTTTTATATGTAAAACAGTGCCTTCTTTCCCATCAACACTTGAACAACTGACTGTTAAAAGCAAATGCAAACTGACTTGGATTTGTAGGAAACTCATCAGGTCAAGTGTTAGATCTCTAATTGTCATTGTTCTTCCCTGTACACTTAACTCATACCCTTGGTCTTTGGCTACAGGAAAATTTCCATCCTCAAATTTAGTCAAAGATTCCCTCTGTTGACAACCAATTTCCCAGTCAACAAAGTTCCCTTTTGTGCATTCTGTCTGAAGGAGACAAAGCTTTTGCTAGAGATTTAGACATAGTGAGCTGTTTCATGCTCTTATGAAAAAACATCATACAACCACATTAAAAACATAAAAAAGGAATTTAATACAGGCAAAAATCATATATATATATATATATAAGCATAATTGTATCAAGTGCTTTCTGGTTTTTTAAATAACAGTTTTAGTAATTTGAAGACAAACCATATTTTATAATTCTGGAATTTAAACTTTCATTGTACTGCTTTAAAATTAATTAATTTTCTAAATTAGAGAATACTTTTTAGTATTAAATGTCCACATAAATTGTATCATTTCACTGCTGATGCATCAAGGAAGCAAATTATATGAAAAACAATTGTACCCATGGAATTATAGGTAAGAAATTATGTATATTACATTTAAATAACTTATCATTTTTCTGTAAATTATTCAGATAAAATAAACAAATAATTTCTTTATTTTAAAAGAAATAATTTATTTAAAATTTGGTAATTTACATATAATACAATATTATTAAAGTAGTATTTTGTTAAAAATTTTATTAAATTGCATACCTTCAGCATGAACTAAATATTGTCCACTTCCAGCTAAAAATGTTTCACTGAGTGTTGCATTTTCACTACAAGTATCACCATTATCCATTCTGAATAAATCTAAACAAAACAAAAAATAAATAAGTTCTACTTAAATTTAATCTATTTATAAAATAATTAAAAATTTCGACAGTATTTTACAAATTCATATATATATATCTAATAGGCTAAATCAAAGATGATAAATAAATGGCTATCCCTTATATGTGATCTTGCTTTATGCTACAATATAATTAAAAAAAATAAAAATAGACATTAAATTAAAACATTTGCTTGCATTTATGAATGAATTATTGTGCATGCATACGACTATTCAATCATCATATGTGTACCCCATATTCAATGTTTTTGCAGATACAAAATCTGAAGTATCATAATTAGTATTCTGTTTTCTTAAACAGTAGAACTCCAACCATCTGAACCCATACAAAATTCAAGAGTAGTTCTTCAGATAATTGGAATGGTACATGGATATACCTATGTCACCACACCTGTAAACAAAAAAGTTTCAGTTTGGAGGCTTTTCAGAGTTTAAACTGATAAGGCTACCATCCCCTACATTAATTACTAAGTAAAACTGGTGGCAATAAATAATTTGAAGTGGTAAAAAAAATTTAAAACTGGAAAAATAGTTGGCAATTTTTAAAAATTTTTCAGAGCAGCCCCTGATAATGTGATGACAATAAAAACAAAACTAGAGATCAACTATTTAGTCAAAGAAGAAAACATGG